GAACAAGCTTAGCAAAGCACAGGGACCACGGTTCAATCCCCCAGCACCACAAGCCAGCCAGCCCGCCCCCTGGTGGGCTGAGCTGGCCACACACACACACACACACACACACACAAATAAATAAATAAATTTTGAAAAAAAAAAAAAAAAGAAAAGAAAAACCAGAGAAATAGGGTCCTGGAGCCCCAGGAAGAGCACCAGGGAATCAAAAGAGGGGCCCTAAAAGTGTGGCCCTTTGAGCACTCTGCCAGGAGATTCCCTGGGGGCGGCTTCTCCCCCAGCCTGCTTGCCAAAGGCTTGCCCATCCCTGGGGGAGGACTAGGGGAAATCCCAGCATTCCCTACTCTCCTGTGTCCTTCCAAGTTCCAATCTGATGAATCAGATGGGGGGACAAAAGTCAAGCAGGCCAGGTCTCCGACACTGGGTGTGGCCTAAATAGGCCATCACAGCCCCACACTCGAACAAATATTTTGAAAACCTCCTCAGCTTCTCTCCTCCGTTTCTGCCCCACCCCACGCACCCCTGTGTTCACTACTGGGAGTCGAGCCCAGGACCCTTATACTGACCTACATCTCTGGGGTTTTTTTATTCTTCAAGAGAGTCTCACCAGGCTGCGCCACTTGGGCTCAAATTGGCAGTCCTCCTGCCTCAGCTTCCCAGAGTTTTGGAATTATAGGACTGTGCCACCACGCCTGACTCCTATTTCTTTCTTTATAATTGAGATTAAAAATACAGAAACAGGGACCGGGGAGATGGCTCAGTGGAATAAGTGCTTCCATGGAGAGTGCAAGGGCCTGAGTTCAATCCCCGGTTTTGCCAAAAAAAAAAAAAAAAAAAAAAAAAAAAACAGAAACACAAAATTCATCATTTTATCCTTTGAAAGTGAGCTAATACCAGTATGTGTCCATTATACCCTTGAAGAAACCCATCACTGAGTCTTCCCTCTTCCCAGGCCTTGGCCACCATCAATCTACTTTAAGTTCCTGTGGAGTTGCCTATTCTGACCATTTCTTATACATGAAATCATATAACACGTGGTCTTAGTGTCTGACTCCTGTCATTTCATGTAATGTTTTCAGGGTTACCCATGCAGTTAGTATTACTTTATTTCTCTTTATGACCATGTAATATTCCGCAGTATGGACAAGGCAGTTTCCTTATCTATTTATCTGTTGATGGAAACTTTGATTCTTAAACTTTGAGGCTGTTATGAATAGCTCTGCTACAAAGATGAGCATATACATTTTTGTAAGAGCATATGTTTCCAGTTTGATTGGGTAAACATCTATATTGGGATTACTGAGTCATGTCAGAACTTTAACTTTTTGAGGAACTGCCAAATTTTTCCACAGTGGCCAAGTAATAAATGACAGTTCCCACCTCCTTGCAAACACTTCTTATTTTCCATTTTTTTAAAATTGTGGTCAGAAAGCCCTCCATGTACTATAAAATTTACCTCCGACTATTTTTTTACTTTTTTTTTTTTCTGAGACGGGTTTCATGACGTAATTCCAGCTGGCCTTGACCTCTCAGCGATCCTCCTGCATGTGCCACCATGCCTGGCCACAGCCATTTTTTAACTGTGTGGTTTAATAGCTTCAGTTTCATTTACACCTTATGTACCATATTTCTAAAACTTTTCTATTTTGTAAAACTGAAACACCATGCCCATCAAACAACCCCACATTCCTCTCACCTCCAGCCCTGAGCAACTGCTCTTCTCCTGCTTCTCTTAAGCTTGACTATTTTAAATACTTTCCATAAATGCAATCACACAGGATTTGTCTTGGTGGCTGGCTCATTCCTCTTGGTACAGCGCCCTCAGTGTTCATCCAGGGTATGCCTATAATGGGATCTCCTTCGACTTTGAGGCTAGTACTCAGCTGGAAGCATGGGCCACACTGCCTTTAGCCATGTTTGTTGATGGGCATTCTAGATGTTCCCGCTCCTTGGCTAATGTGAACAATTCTGTCACAAATATTTGTGCGTAAATATTTCT